CCTGGAAGTGCGGATTCAAAAAAGATAACCATGTAGCTATTCATACGTGAACCCAGTTGAACTTGGTAGTGCGAATGACAAACACATAAACGTTAATAGTTGTACTCAGTTGAACCTGGAAGTGCGAATTTGACAAAATGAACCTCAGAATTATTCATACTTGTACGTAGTTTAACCTGGTCATACAAATTCACCAAACTCAAACACAGAAAGATTCATAGTTGTACATGGTCTAAAATGGTTGTACAAAACCAAGAATTACAAAACACACACATAAATCAAACTGAGCTGCCACTTTGGCTGCTCTGGAAATAGAAAGCAAAACCTCTTCCAGACACATACTTGTTACTCATCTTCCTGCGACGTTCCCAAGTGGATGGAAAGCGGTTTTCTTGATTTCTTCCTGGAGATTTAGTGTAATCAGGCGGTAAAGCAAACTTATAGTATTTCCTCAAGAATACTCCAACTAGACTCATTCGGCACTGGATAAATCATCATGTAGTATGCCAATGCCCACGCATCAATCAAGTAATATCTAGAGCATAAGTCGTATAGACTAATATCCGCTGTTCTCCCTCCCTTCTTCATCAGTGCTGCGGCTGCGGCGATTGCATGAACACATGGATACTTGTTTATATCCAACCCTCTGCAAGAGCAACTTTTGCTCGATAAATCCACTAAGTAAGCCTTCCCATCCAGTCCAATAACGGTGTATTCAAGTTGGAAGCTGTTTAGCTCAGCCACAACTAAACGAGTAGGAATTGGACATAGTTCATGCAATTTGTTGTCCACATAAGGCATCACTTTCTTTGACATCAGCATATCAGCAGCAGTCTTCCTATGCTTGTTAAACCAATATGCCATTTTCTTAACAATCGCATCAATCATTGGTAAGAGAGAGTACTTCCTTACTTCCTTAAACACATTGTTGAGAGATTCACAAGAATTGCTGGTGTCTAAATTGTACTTTTCTCCTTTCAAGTAGCACCTTGCCCATGGTACAGTCTCATGCAAATACACAGCAGCTGCAGGAAACCTCCTTTTAAAATCAGCATACTCCCTTCGAACTCACTCACAGTATAAATATGAGCGCATTGGATGAATTTTGCCGCCACTAGATCTTTGTTCACCTTATGCTGAACTTTACCTCTCACGTTTTGAGACAAATGCCATATACAATGTCCATGCTGGGAGTGGGGATACACCTTCCCTACTGCATTTATGATGCTTTTATGTCTGTCACTCATAAAAACCAATTCAGGATCATCAGGTATAACGATTTTCAGCTTCTCGAAAAACCACATCCAACTGTCATGCTTCTCAGTATCAATTACACCAAAAGCAATGGGGTAATGGTGATGATTAGGATCTTGAGCTGTGGCAAAGACAAGCTGTCCACCATATACATTCTTAAGAAATGTTGCATCCACAACTATCATTTTCCTCATTGCTTGAAACCCTTCAATGCTAGCTCCCAAAGCAATGAATAGGTACTTGAACTTTTTCTCTGCATCCGGTTCCACACTTGTTACAGTTCCAGGATTTACCTTATGTAGCTTGTACAAATAAGAGTATAACATCTTATAACCTTCTTCAGGAGTGCCCCGCACATCACTAACAGCTAGTTTTTTTTCCTCTTAAGGTGGTAGAGTAGGACAAACTAACACCAGCTCTACTCTGAACCAAATTCACGATATTTTTGGGAACTGAGGTGTCAAATTAACCTGGATAGTCTTGCTGCAAAACAGATGCTGCTAGTCGTGGGGTGCATATCCTTTTACTAATGCTTGTACTCTCAACGGCCCGAGAGCATGTATGCATTTTTCTGTATAATTTAACACTGAAATAATCCGATTTCTTAAACCTTGCAGCTCGTAAATACCATTTACAGCCTTGATTCTTCTGACGACATTCTAGAATAAGTCGCCTTATGTCTGACTTATAAGTATAGACCCCAAAACAATTCTTATGTGCAGCTCTGTCAACCAAATCTTACACTGCCTCCTTAGAACAAAATTCTTGACCAATTTCAAGACTTGTACCATCTTCCCATTCTTCAACACACTCACTAACTTCTAAAGAACCTGGAAGCTCAACATATTCATGCATACCATCCAAACCGTTTTCCATATCCCCATCAGTAAATACATTACCATCGTTCTCTGTCACCTCTTCAATAATTGGCTCCATATGTTCTTCTCTTTCTGAGTCTGCTCTATAAATAGTAACCGCATTACAGACATCATCATCAGCTCTACCATTTGTAACCCGCTCCTCATAATTCACACCAAACGAACTACCCACTTTAGAAGCTTGCTCACTCCTACCCGCTTTAGAAACTGAATTTGTTTCCAAATCTTTGACTACCTCCACATGCAAAACAGACCTTAGCCCCTCGTTATCCACCGTTGTTAGATAAGCATATACGTCATCATCAACGAAAATTTTTGACTCGTTGATCTGTTTATTTACCAACTGATTGTAACTCAATTTCAGCTGTGCATTAGCTCTATCTATCACAATCTTACTGCATATCTTATCTACTAACGCCGAGTAAGTTATCTCCTCCACAGATAAGTTTCTAAATGGTATAGTATATGTGGAATTACTTTTAAACCATTTCAACTCCCCTCCGTCACGTGAATAACTCCCTCCATAGTCAAAATGTATGTTTGTGTGGTTGATGGTCATGCTCTCCTGGAAATATAATGAAAATAATCGATCAGTAATTACACAAAGTACCACAGTTGTACCAGTTGAACTCATTTGAACTAAATTGAACTCAGTTGTACGAGTTGAACTAGACCTCTCATTTGTACTAGTTGTACCAGTTGAACTCAATTGAACTAAATTGAACTAGACCTCTCACTTTTACCACATTTGTATCAGTTGAACTCAATTGAACTCAGTTGAACTCGATTTCCCCCCAAATTAAACTCAGTTGTACCAGTTGAACTAGACCTCTCATTTGTACCAGTTGAAATTAATTGAACTAAATTGAACTCAGTTGTACCAGTTGAACTAGACCTCTCATTTTTACCACAGTTGTACCAGTTGAACTCAATTGAACTCAGTTGTACCTGTTGAACTAGACCTCTCATTTGCACCACTTATACCAGTTGAACTCAAGTGAACTCAATTGAACTCAGTTGTACCAGTTGAACTAGACCTCTCATTTGTACCAGTTGAACTTAAGTTTTCAGTTGTACCAGTTTAACTCAATATCTTAATTGTACCTTTTCGCTCTCAATTGTACCAGTTGTACCGTTTTTCTTATCATAACTCGAGGAATTTCGAGGAGCTCGGGTTCTACATATGAATCTGATTAACATAACCATGTTCTTCTCACAAATTACCGAACATATGGCTTAATCTATCCAGAATACATTGTTACCAACCCAGATCACTGATTTTTCAAATCTAAATCCCTAATTAACTCACCTTATGGGATATTCAACAATGGCAAAATAGGAGAAAGAAGACTTCAATTCTGAGTCGGACGAAGTGCAGAAAGAGTCGACCAGGGTCGGACGAAGAGGATGACGGGAGAAGAAGCTCACGGGAAGAGCTTACTAGAAGAGAGTTCGGGTGAGAGGAGGGAGGAGCTCAGTTCTCGGAAGATCTGAGATTTAATTTTGTTTTTTTCTGATTTTATTTTTATTTATTTTTACTTATTTTATTTTTACTAATTCATTAATTTAATTTTACTCAATTAATTTCAGTTACTTTCACCAAAAATAAAATTATAATTTTAAATCTTATTTAAATGAATAAATGATATTGGATTAAGGAGTGTCACAGATCAATTTTTTTAAAAAAGTGACATTTCAACTCTTTACTCGATTTATCAAGATCTTAATTTCTCCTAAATTCAATTTTGTGAGGAGATATAAAAAAATTTAGGTCACTAATTTTCCTCTGAATTTTGATTTTCTTTATCTCATAAATCAATTGCTCCAATGGGTTATTTGATGAGAAAATTGAGGTTTTCTTTTGGTACTCTCTTTAAATTAGAGCTATTTGATATTTGGTCTTTTGACTCTTATGGTGTGAAGATCTAATCAACTAAATGTGTGGGTGTCTGGGATAGTTATAGGAGGATCATGTTTATTCAAACACAATCGGCATTAAACTCTTTTTTTATGATGTTTAATCCTAGTAAATCAAATGTTTTGTGTTTTCATTTCTCGGTGATGAAGACTGTGCTATTCTCAGATAGAGGATTTAAATAGAATTTAATCTGAGAATGGTTAACAGATTCGCCGGAGCTGGTGGAGAATTGTTGTCATGAGGACAAAAAGGAGAGATTAAAGATGAAGGAGGTGAGAAAAGTAGGAAAGGAGCAAGAGCAGTATCGACTGAGATTAAAACTAAGATTAAGGGCATTTGCTGAGAGAGTAATGGTGATGGAGAAGAGCAAAATGGAGTTTGGAATGAGACAGATCGATCTTTAGGTCGGGTTTAGGATTTGGTGATGAAATTTTTTTGGTCGGATCGATTTTTGAATCGGATTTGGTTGGAATCGGGTTTTAGTTTGGTATAGGATTTGGTTTATAACATTAACCGATTAAATCGAATTTTTAACTTTTCATCTGATGGGGGAATTAAATGTAGAATTTTCATTGGATGGGAAATTGGTAAAAAGCCTTAACTTTGTATAAAATTGGTACTATATGAAAATTATTAGGGTAAATAGATCGCTAACCCACGTACCAAATGATTCAAACTCTTTAAATTATTTGTATTTATAAAATTTTATGATAGTTCTATTTGTAACGTAGTGCAACAATTATAAGCAAAGGTATTCGTGCATAGCAAAACACGTGCGACCTTTAATATCATCGGTCCAGTGATTTTCGGCAATGCCTACACGCACGCCTTACCTTTTGCAAATTACGATGTCAGATTGCAATTCTTCTCTAAAACGTTGACTTATTGACCTTCTAACAGTGATATTGCTTTCACATCCATTTTTCTATTCGAAGCTAACTTTAAGGAGTTTAAATGTCAATTTTAAGGTAAACAAACCAAACTTGACAAAGAGCAATTAATTTGAACAAAAAAAAAAAAAAAAAAAAAAAAGACAAAGAGCAATTAATTTTAGTGTCTTTTGGCCAAAAAAATCAAACTTTTGTTATAGAAAGAGCCTGTAATGCCCGTCTCTGTTGTTGAAGGATGAACAATAAACGCAAGATCATGAACTCGGTAAGCTTGTGATTTCTGTTCTTTCTTTTTGTTTCTTTTTCTTCTTGTCTTGTTCTATCGCTTGGTACTCTTTCGTTTGTTATTCTCATTTTGCGATCTCGGGGTTTTTTTGGTTTTTCAAGAACTTGTGAACTTTCATTAGCTCAATCCGATTGAAGTCATCAACTAACCTTTGTTGATCTTAAGCTTTCATAAATCATGTAAATTTCGATTTGTGGACTCATCAAAGCTCTATCTTTTTCTTTCTTTCTGTTTTTGTGTTCTACTTGTGTTAGTCGTTTCCTGAATTCCTGTTGTAGATCCTTTCACGAAAGTCTGGATCTTTATAACAAAACCCAACGAAATTTCAGTTTTTTATTTCCAAGGATTTTGCGTATTAGGAAAATTATGTATATATGCATTACATTTCTCATAGAGCTTTGTGGGAAAAACAAATTTTTAACTCATAAGTCTTTAAAATCTTGAATATTAAATCTTGATTGTTGCATTGTTGCTCAATGAGATCATACTAGTTTTTTCGTACTCCATATTAATCTCATATGTGTTCGTGTCCGTTTGGGTATAAATAGTGGTGATTCGCCAAGAATGTACTTTGGCATTTATCGTTAATGTGTTCTGGATCTTTTATACGTTGCTTTGTTTTTTTCAGATATCAAGTATGAACCAAAAAAGAAAGAGCTCGTCTCTTCTTCGCTTGTTCCCTTTCGTGTTTTTTCTTGGAATGGTTTTCCTTTTAGGGAATGCGTTTATTACTGTAGACTATAAAGAGGTATAACTTTCTTCTGTAACCTGGACTGCAATTTTAAAGCATATCTTAAATGTAAATATAAAATATTTTGTTTATAATCATTGACAGGGTATCTCGGGATGGAGTTCGATAATTAGACTAAATCTTGCAAAACTGAAGATGTGCAAGGTCTGTTGATAAGCTCTTCTACTCAGTTTCTGTGCTCAAAACCAAGTTACTTATCTGAAGATTTACAGCTTTCCATTTTACTTTGTTCCATTAGACACAACTAAGACCTCTTGGAAGCGAGATATTACCTAGAGGCATTGTTGCAAGTACATCTGATTTGGAAATGAGACTATTGTGGGGGGGAAAGCGGATTAAGGTACTTACCTTGTTGCGTTCTCTCTAGTCATCCCCAAGTTACAATATCTGTTTTTTCCTTGCTCAGAATCCAAAGCCGAACTTGTTGGCTATGGCAGCAGGAATAAAACAGAAAGAAAGTGTCAACAATATTGTGAAGAAGGTAAAACTCAGACAATGCGCCTCGACTATGAAACAGATTTGAAGTGATATATCTTTTTTCACAACCTTCTTATATGGCAGTTTTCATCAAGTGAGTTTGTTGTGATGTTGTTTCATTATGATGGCGCCGTGGATGAATGGAATGAGTTTGAGTGGAGTGAAACTGCTATTCATATTTCTGTTGTAAACCAGACCAAATGGTAATTTTGTTTTCTTAATCGTAAACCGGAAGCAGATACATATCGTATGGCTGCACATTTTCAATATCTCTATGATTCTGTTAGGTGGTTTGCAAAACGTTTTCTACACCCGGATATTGTCTCAGCATATTCTTATATATTTCTATGGGATGAAGATCTTGGTGTTGACCATTTTGATGCTCGAAGGTATGATGTCGTAGCAAAGAATATATTTTTGGCATTTAATAAAGATGTGAAACTGATATCTATGGTATCTCTATGCAATGAAAATTTCAGGTATGTTTCAATTATTAAAGAAGAAGGGCTTGAAATATCACAGCCTGCTCTTGATCCACATTTGTCTGAAGTGCATCATCAACTTACCTCACGGGACAACAAATCAAGAGTACATAGGTACGTCTCTCATGTTCTGACAAACAAAGGTTCTAATATTTTCTAGCAAAGGGAACAAAAAGAGTGGAAGAATGACTTTATGTATCTTATTGCAATGTTTTGCTATCTACCAGGAGAACATACAAAGTCATTGGTCGGACTAGGTGCAACGAGCATAGCACTGGACCTCCTTGCACGGGGTAAAAGAACGTAATCTGGTGTCCATTTATGTTTTTCTAGTGCATTTATTTTTAAGTTTCGTTAAAAAACTCTATACATACAGATTTGTAGAAATGATGGCTCCTGTGTTCTCAAGAGCAGCCTGGAGGTGTACATGGCACATGATTCAGGTATTGCGCAAGTTTGGATTTATTATGTCACAGATTTAATGAACTCCCTCACCATCTCTACACTTCAATTGAATTATTGCTGTGTTTATTCTTTTACAGAATGACTTAAACCATGGATGGGGTATAGATTTTCAGCTTGGATATTGCGCTCAGGTAAATGGTGACTATGACAACCCAACAGACCCTTTTGTGTTGTTTTCATTGTTTCTCAGTACTCTGTTGTTGCTTTGGATAGGGTGATCGAACCAAAAACATCGGCATTGTTGATTCCGAGTATATACTTCATCTTGGTCTTCCCACATTAGGAGGTTCAGCTGAAAATAAGGTTTGAAAATGCTTCTCTTGCCAATTTCATAATGTAGGCCTCGTGAATTTTATTTAGAAACTAATTATAGTCACTGCATGCAGACGGAATCAGGACCAATCGATGAGACCAAGAGTCAGCATAGTTCAGAAAAATCTGTATGTTATCCTTATACTATGATTTGCTCTTTCTCCTTTTCATGCATGGGTTGTCTAATTACTGTTTTCATACAGAAACCATCACCAACATCCCAAATGTCTTCCGCTAGATCTGAGGTAAACCTTCTTAAGCTGTTTGTCTTTGAAAATATGATACCAGTTTTTTTTCTTCTCTGAATGTTTAGAGTGCTTTTTATGGCTAAGATATCTATTCATAAAAACTGTTATCAACTAGGTTCGGAAGCAGGCATATGCCGAGTTGGAGACCTTTAAACACAGATGGAAAAATGCTGTGAAGAACGATGAATGCTGGATAGACCGATTCAAGCCATAAAAGTATGCTCATTTTCAACACAATTATACATTCGTAGAAGGGAAAAGAGAAGTAGAGATGATTACAAGACTGTTAAGATGACAGCGCTCTGATGATCTTCATATGGATGAGGGACGTGCTGAATCTAACCACTTATTGGAGGTATACGTGTAGCTCAACTTTGAGTCTTTATAGGATATTACAAATTTGTACTAGAGAACCGGAGATTCTTGTCGACTGTTCTATCTCCCACTTTTATAGAGCTTCAAATTTTAGAGCAAAAATCTTACTGACGACTTATATATGTACCATAGGAAGTACACAAGGTTGTGAAATAAAGCTGAGTTTTTTTTTACAAATGGTTGGTTCATGACTCTTTACGTTTTCTCTATCTTCATCCTGAGTAGCTCCAATTAAACAAGAGCAGATTTTCTTATGATTCTTGAGATTATTCCTCCAATCTCCTCTCCACAATCCTCTTGTACATGATGGCCAGCCTGATAAGTGATAAGAACAAAATCGGTTTTAATTAGCTTTGTTGTTCAGTAATCTCTCATGGACACAAAGAAATAGCCTGTACTATTGGAAGTTCAACAATTTTATGTCCTGAACTCTTGCAGAAGTCTTCAACTCCTTTATAGCTCAGCCACCTGTCTCGTTGTCCCCAGCACACGGTGGTCGGTATTTTCCAGTCTTTATCCATCAGTGATTTCCTCATCTGTTCTGCATACACATAAGGTAAAATTCTTAGAAAGTTCTTAGCTTTCTCTAAATATCAACTTAAAAAATCTTAATTTTAACAGAACCTTGAGTTCCTTCTTCATGGCTCTGCTGATGGTGAGATAAGGTCTTCAGTAAACCATTGCATCGTCTTCTTTAATTTTGTAAGGACCACAGCTCGTCAATGGCTTGTCACTTGCTCTTAGAGGATCCTATTAATTTATATTAATCAGGAATTTATTTTACGGAAGCACAATAGTAAGAAGCAACTTTGATGAAACCAACCTGAGAGAAAATCTCCACGAGCAAGAAGTTGCTGAATACAGACAATGTTGATGGAAGTTTAGCATGTTCGGGTGTGAGCTGAAACCGCAAAAACAACAGGCTCTAAGTTAGATTGAAAGAATGAGAAGAAAGTGGTTTTATCTAGGTTCTTTCCTTACAGGAGGATTCAAGAGTATGAGATTCTTGATCTTCTCTGTCGGTTTCTTGCGTATTTTACCGCAGCAGTTGAGAAGTAGCCCTGACAAAACACCAAAGAAGAGAAGTTAACACTAAACAACTCTCCAACATTGCTTCTTCAGTCAGAAATTAGGTGGTGCTACTTACCGGCACAACAAGTGATACCTACTGGTAGTTACTTCATCAATGAATGACTGAAGCGACGAAAAACACTCTGCAAAAGCTGCAGATTATTCTGATAAATCTTGAAACTTTCTCGGGTTAAGGTCTGTTCACAACCAGGTTTAAAGAATATGTTACCGTCTAATATATAGTTGAATCCATATCTGGCCTGAGGCTTATCAGAAAATCCAAATCCTAGCCAATCAAAAGCAATGGCGTGGTAATTCTTTGAAAGCACGGGAAGAGCTTTCCAGTAAGAGTAAGACTAGTCACAAGAAAATTGTGACATCCCGGACCCGGAATTAAACCAAAAAGCTCACGATCCCGAGCCAACCCAGAAAAATTGCCGTCACATATAAAAAGAAGCTGAAACCCTTAAAGGTTGGATGGGAAATTGGTAAAACAGAGAAGTTCCTATCATCTGTTGTGGAGATGCAAAGGAAAATCAACAAGTGGCAAGGCAAAATGCTCAAGAAACTTGCCAAGAAGGTCAAGGCACTTCAAGGAGGCTCACCTAAGAAGGATGCAAGTGAGGAGGTTCACCAACCCGAGAAGAGGAGGCTCTCAACCGGTGGAGTTGTCATCTGTGAGACTCAAGGCAGCAACATTCAGCCGGCGCGTCTTTCTCTGCAAGAACCAACCGACAAGGGCAAAACCATAGTCTCTAGCTCCTCTGGAACATCCTCAAGTTCCAGCCGAGACTAGACCAGAGGTAACAACCTTCTTCCATTGTACATAACCGCTCATATTTGCTTCTTTTTGCTTTGTGTGTTGGTACTCCTTTGAATTTGTTTGCCACCGGGACGGTGTCAAGCAAGTTTGGGGGAGTACATGTGTGGTTTAACATGTGTTTTCTGATCTTATTTTCCTTTAGCATCTTTGAGTCTTTATTTCATGAAAAATTGGTAAAATTTTTAAAAAATTTTCAAAGATTCATGTAGTTGCATTCATCTTGTCAAAACATGTTAGGATTGAGTCTAGAATTTTTCTTAGCATCTAGGTTGTTTGCATTTGCATAAGGGGTTAAAGTTTCTTGAAAAGGTGTTTTATACTCATGAATTGTTTCAATACCGTAGTTAATAGTTCTCTAATGCTTTGCCTATGCTTTGAAAGTAAGTTCTTACCATGCTTGGATCACTTGCTATGATTTTCGTGACTTGAATTGAACTCTCATGATTTGAAACTTGTCCTAATAAGTGAAAACCTTAATCTGAAATTTTAATTATCATCCTTATGCATTTGAAAATGAACACATGGATTTTAAAATATTTAGGCTCTCTTCTTCCTTTTTACCACTCTTTGTGAGCCTAAGTAGAACTCCCACCTTGACCCTTACCCTTCTTTGAAGCCAATTATTTCTTGTGTGACATCATTGTGAGGCCTTCTTTTTCGGTTTTGAACTTAGCATAAAGTGTTAGGTTTAGGCAACATGATTTGGTTCTCATATGATTGCTAGCTTTGCATTTTGAAGCTAGGTATAGGCTTAGGATAAGTTTGGGGGATCATTGGGGTTGTTTTCATGTCTATTTGTTCTCGGTTTCAAAAAGTTTGGTGTTTAGAAAGAAGTGGGTTTTAAGTGAAAGGTTGTGTTTAAAAACTATATATATGCTCTAATAAATTTCAGGAGGTAGCTCTCCCAAATAAAAATAAAAAGAAAAAGAAAAAAAAAAGAGCCTAAGTGCCAAATAAAAATAAAAAAAAAGAGAAAAAAGAAAAACAATAAATAAGAGAGCTACCAATAAAAAATAGATAAAGGGCAAAATTTATTTTCAACCTTTTCACTAACCTAAAGAGTTAAAAATGTTTTTGTTTCGAATTGGGGAATGCTAAGCTTTGAGAAAAAAGGGTAGATTCTAAGTGGTGAGTGAGGATGAAAGTTAATAAATGAGAGGGGTTTAGGATCATTGTTAGTTTACATGGATAGATGAGAATCTGATCATGTATGCATCAATTGCCTTCACCTTTAGCATTATGCATAAAGTTCTTGCCATTTTTGAGAGAAACCCTTGTTTTAATTGTAAACCCTTTTCAAATGAGATCATTCTATGCTCATAACCTGCACCTTTAGCCAAATGTGTTTTGCTTTAAAGTGCATAAGTTTGATTCATGGTTCGGATGTTAATGAATGTTCAAGGATGAGTTTCTTTGATTGTTAGGAATAGGAGAGTCATGATCTGAATTTCTTTGTGTGATGAGTATGGCTAAGTTCTTTGGAGTATGAGTGTGTGCATAGCATTTTAGAACTGTTAACTAGGACATTGAGATTGATTCATTTGAAAGGCACCTTTGCAAGAAGCTTAAACCCCCATTCGTTTTTAAAAACCTCTCTTCTTTACTTATTTTCTGTTGCTTGAGGGCAAGCAAGAAGTAAGTTTGGGGGAGTTGATGTTACTGCATATTGCATACATTTTGCATACATATTAGTTAGCTTTTCATACATTTACATCACACTTTAGACTAGATTGCATCACTTAGGGTCCTAGAGCATTCTCGCACCAGCATATGCATTTTCCTTGCATTTTGCATCACATTCAGGTTGTTTCTGGCTACTTTGGAGTCGTGGAGGTTTGTGGACGTGCTGAAGCTGTTGTGGGGGTTCGTGGAAGGTCGGATGTTTGCTAAGGACCAGAGATCGGGGAACAGATCGAGCATGGCAGATCGATCAAGGATGAGATCGACCAGAAGATCGAGAAGACCAGGCGATCCAAGGAGAATGATCGAGACGAAGATCGAGTGAAGCAATCGATCAAATGGTACGGACGTAAATGACGCCATGCAGAACGAGAGCCGGATCGAGTCCATCACTCGATCTAACCGAAGATCGATACCAAGATCGGATGCAACACTCGATCCACCGAAGATGATCGAGACCCAGATCGAGTTGAAGACGCGATGTTCGAAGATGATCGAGAGAGCTGTTCGATCCCGAAGTCGATCTCTGTCCTTTCAACCGCTTTTGGCCGCTTGCGAGGAGGGGACCATCGGGTTGTTTTCGCCATTTTGGGAAGGCGGCGAAGTCCTTTTCACACAGAACTTTTCAGTCTTATCTTTTTTTTTATGCTTTTCTCTCTGGTTTTGGAGATTATCCACCATTGTCGAAACTTGAAGTTTTTCTTGCTTTGTAATCGAATCGTTTGAGTTTAATCTAGTTTCTTTTCATGTTCATCGTTTCTTTCTTCATGCTTTGCTTGATTTATCTTATGTGTAGTGAGTAGTTTCTATAGGGTTCGGGGTTGAGAGGATCTAAGGGGTTAAAAAGGTTTCGATCTTGGGGTTTTTCTAGTGTTTAATGGCTATCTCTTCTAGGGTGTCGAGTTCCTAAAGCTTAAAGACTCTCACGCCAAGAGCTTTATGATCCGAGAGGTTCCTTACCTTGATAGGATTCAGGGACCTCTGAAGATCACACCCTAGAGACTAGTTACCCCTTCCCAAAAGCCATGGAAGTTTGGGGGACTAGTTAAGCCATTCGTTTGAAATCTGTTTTTCATGCCCTTCGACCTCTCTTTCCACCAAAAGCCATGGGTTTGGAGGAGAGGATGAAGGAGTGATCTATACCGAAAGCCACGGATAGATCTTATTTCATTTTCAAGGCTTAGAGATTCTGACAAAGTGAGTCGATTTAAAGCTTTCAACCCAAGTTCGGACCTTTGAAACCCCTGACCATGAATCTCAATCCTAGACCCTCTTTCTTAGCATCTTTACATCTTCTCTCGTCATTCGCTTGATCTTTGATAGCATCCTGGTCGTTAGTTTTACTGTTCTTGCATTTTTAGACGAGATCGATCGTTATTGCTTGATCTAGTGGTCGATCCCATGGTCGATCCACTAGTCGAATTTTAGTAATTCGTAGCTTTGTCCTTTAATTATTCTGTTTGTTCCTCATGGTAGTTTGATCATTCCTGGTAATATTAAAATAGTTTTGCATTCCATTTAGTTGCTGCATCTAGTTTTTAGGGATTTTCTCAAAATCGATCCTGTTTCGCTTAGATTTGCAAAGCCCTTGCATTCTCTTTGCATTTTCTATCATCCTAGGTGTGGATTGACTCTCTCTTGCATACTGTACTACAATCTGTCTTGCATTTGAGTTTGATAGCCTCATTGCATACTCACCCTTGCAAAAATTCTAGTTATCAGGGAGCGAAGGAGGCAGAAGTAAATTTTCTAATTCTTATACCCTGAAACAGAAATGTCACACTAAGTAAAACTATTTGTGTTTGCAGACAGAAGGGACATCTTCCACGGGGGGTAAGCAGGTGTATCGAAGGAAAAAAAGAGGTTCACAGTCCCAAGTGGAGAAAGAGGCAGCCGACAAACCCCAGAAGAGGAAGATAAAACGTTCCAAGCATGTGTGACCTGCTTATACAGAGGAAAAGGCCAAGATGGGCAGAAAAAAATATACTAGTTGGACTTAAAACATTTTCTATTTTGGTTTTCAGTTGGACTAAAACTCGAATGCTGATATGTTGTTTGGATTTAAAGTTTGAATTTAATGTTTGGATTTAAACGTATTTCATTTGGTATAGTGTTTTAATTTGTTTGATTTGGCGTTTTGATTTGCGTTTGACAAAGTAACAAACAAATAAAAATACTAAAAATAGTTATAAAATATTGAAGTGCAAGGCATACATTTTAACTACTTGAACAACAATTAAAAGAAATTGCAGATTCGTTAAGTCCTGAGCTTGGCTATCTCTTCGGCTTGGATCTGAATCTGTTTTCGCATTTCTTCAATCGTCTTGCTCTGCTCTTTAACTTTCATAACTAGCTTCTCAATCTCTTGTTCGACTCCGAAAACCCATGGCTGACGAAAGTGGAGTCCATCATCCTAGCAAAGAAACAAAAAAACGAGCAACATCCATTATAGTTATACCTAGTTTTACTAGTTTTACCCAGAAAAAAACCCAGATCTAAAATTATAGAGATTATACCTTAAATTTGGTGCAGGTGAAGTACCTACTGCCTGGTTGAATATCGAAATCGTGTTTAAATTTTGGAGAAGGAGATACATCGTGGTTGATAGATCCACCACATGGGCATCTTCTCGGAATCCCATATTGGTCGTCGGCGACGAATCCAACCATGTCACAATGCTGCTTCATCTTCTCCATTTTCTTGCGGTGCCTCTTCTCTTCCTTCAACTCCTCCTCGTATGGGTCGGTGAGGAAATTGTCCGTGTAGTGATAGCTACAATCCAAATCCATTTTAAGAGAGAGAGAGAGATCGACTAACCTAAAGAGATAAGAAAGAACGAACCCGAGCGAAGGTGAGAAGAGAGAGAGAGAGAGAGAGAAGGGAGGAGGAAACTCGAATCTGAGAAGTGAAAGAAATCCCTAGAATCCCGATTTCTATAATTTACCCTAAACTGGGAAAAACCGTCCTGAATTTCCA